CCAGCATCTTGGAAATGCTTTCCTATTATTGCCAGCAGTGTGCAGATGGTGTGGAATACCCCAAGCCTGATGATGATATCATGGAACTTTTCAATTGAAAGCCCTTCGTGACTGCAGGGATTCATCTTCTTGGTTCTTTCGGTAAAGACACGTAGAAGGGAAATAATAAAATAATAAAAATAAAACATAATAAAATAAAATTCTCACGACGTTTCAGCCACAACACAAGCAGCCGTCCTCAGGTGAAGAAACAGAACTGTCGGAAAGACAGCGCTCCAATGAACACTGCTAAGCTTGGCAGCGTATTTTAAGCTGGGTGGGAGGAGCAGAGTGCCTTAGAGTCGCGGCATCTCTTCAGAAAGGTGAGAGACTCGATTAGCTGAGCCTTCTTATCCCAGAGTTTATTGAAGGATCTAAAGGTTATGTGGAATCCCTCCCCGTAGAGGCAGTTACATTTTGATTTAAAGCTTTCGTGACTGCAGGGATTCATCTTCTTGGTTCTTTCGGTAAAGTCAAGTAGGGGAGGGATTCCACATTTTCTCTTACGCAAGAAAAACAATCTATGGCCCGACGGCATCTCCACACAGCCCTGAATAATCAGGATCTTGAGGGGCATCTTACTAAAAATATTCGTGCCCAAAAGGCAGGGCACCACCAGCGTCCTTGAGATCAACACAGGTCTAACTACTGCAATCTCGCCAATTTCGACGCGGGCCTCTATCTGCCCTATGATACCAATACTCCCTCCGTTCACCGCAACGCATGCATTTGCTACCGGCATAACATGCTGGTTCCTCAGCTCCAACAATTTTTAAGTCACGTCCGATATAATGGTGGCGGAAGCACCTGCACAAGGACACGTACCTCGATCCCCTGGATGGAGCCAGACACCGCCGAAGAACCCGATGCGGCCGCGATCACCCGGTGCGCCAACTTCCTCCACTATGTACCTGAGCTAGGCCACCCTTGTGCAGCTAGCCCCTGCCGCCCGTCAGCACTATCAGCGCGATGCGGGGTGGAGATGACCCGTGGAACCCCAGATGCCTGAGATGGTAAAATGGGCCGGTTGTCTGGTGTGTCGTGACTCGCCTGTCAGGGTTGAGATGCGGCCGTCAGCGGAGCTGAGGGCGCCGGAGCCGTCGTCGGGGGCCAAGGTTGGTTTTGACACCCTCGCGCAAAATGCCCTGGCTGGCCGCAGCGGAAGCAGGTAACAATGGGCCTCCGCAGCAGGCAATCCCCCTCCTCGCGTGGTCTCCAGCCCCTCGGACATCGCGTGGCCTCCCCTCGACTCCAACTCCATGTTGGGAGCGCGGCCATAACGTCCCCGTCCGGCGGCAGGTCCACGGCCGGCTGTCCCCCAATGCATCGCGGCAACCTGCCATCCTGCTCGCCGTCTCGGCCCGGGTTCCCCCGTCCACGCCGCCTCTGGCACCACTGGTGCAAGTTCTCATGGGCCTGTAAACATCTGGTGGCCCCCCCGGCAGGACGACCCTAATCTCCCGCGCCAGCACCAACATCCTCTCCATAACGAGCGAGTCGAGGGCCTTCGGGTCTTCTGCGAGGTACGCCGCCTTTCCCAGCACCAACAACGCACTGAGGCGAGAGGCGTTTCGGCCTCCCCTCACCTCCGCTGCAGAAACTTCTTGCGTGTGTCGGAAGGTGGCTTGTATACCTCTGTCATCTTGGCATATGCCCCTGGAGGAGTAGCCTTCTTCTCCGCGGGGATGGCTCGGAATGCCACGAGGGCGTCGTCATCTAACGCTGTCGGCAGGTCCCTCAGTGCCTCCTCCTTGGTCCAGTTCACCGACCGGAAAGCCGCTTCAAAACGCCAGGTGAAGGCGCTCCTGTTACCCCCTGCAGCGACAAATTCCCTGACAGGAGGTAATCGGCGGGTCCAATCGGTCCCTTTTTCACATTTTTCTGGAGCGGGCGTCGCTTCCAGCGATTCACGCCCGTATCGTAAAATGGCGGCCTCCGGCCGTGTTTCTCCCGTGCGTTGCGTAATAGCGGCAGCAGACCGCGTGTCCTCTGCGCCATGTGTAATGGCGGCCGCCTCGCCCGTGGACGTTCCCGCCGGAACGCCGATCAACGGCGCCTGTTCCCTTCTCTCCGGCGTGGTCCGTGCAGCCCAACCCGCCGTTACAGTCACCGTTATGAGCATTACAAGCTGCGAGACCGTCACCCGCAGGAGCTCAAGCTGCGCCATCACCATGCACCATCCGTCTTCGGGCTGCGGCTGCGGGGAGAGATGACGGCAAAGACAGCGACGGCAACCAGGACCCGGACCCCACGACATCCCCGAACCTTCGGTCACGTACCCCTTATATACCCTCTGGCGTGGCCAGGCCCCGCCTCCGACCATGCCTCCTTCTAAAACCTTTGAGCAGGTTCCCGGAGCTTCCCGGCTGACGCCGTCTTTTACCTTTACCCCAGTTACGCCCCCCTTCTAGTATATAACGCACCCATACTCGTGATTATCCCTCCTGGTCAACAGATGGCACCCTGTCATTACATATTTATATATGTTGAGCTTCTTTCACACCGTACATAGCCAACCCTGCTAATCGGAGGGCTGTGCTTATCTCTCACGCTCTGGGCCTCGCTTTGGGTTGAGGCAGCCGTCCGCTGATAATGTCGCCTCTGCCCAACCCAACCTCTCCCTGGTCCTCCCAACTGCTTCCCTCACACTCAATTTTTTTGTCCATGACCTCATTTTATTTGCATTCCCCTCACCCCCATGTTTCTCTCCCTGTTCCCACTGCCCCCTCATTTCACCTCTTGCCCTAATGTTTAGGATGTAAATTGAAGTTGTGATATGAGCTACAATTTGTTTATTTCCAATAATCAACCTGTTTACTGATTTGATGCTCCCATTGTTCTCTGTGGCATTTCCAATGTTTTTTTTGTCTATTGTGTTCCCTGATTTATTTCCTTATTCTCTTCCTAATAAATTTTCAGAGTTCTGTATATACAATATTTGTTTTAGCATCTCGCCTCTTTCTCACTTGTTTGTAGTCTTAGTTAATTTATTCTGTGATAGAAGAAAATCAATCATCCATTCTGATATGGGAGATATCACAGATCCTGTAATCCACTACAGAGGTCAGACTTATAATCTGTGGAAAAAATTGCGCCGATGCGGTGTGTTGTGGATTACAGGAGGAATTAGCGTCACATCTGCATCACATACGTTTATTTCCATTAATGTTGAATTTTTGGATAGGCCCGATGTATATTTGCTCTACGTATGAACAACAATTTATATTTTCTGTTTTTTATATATCTACTGTATATAATCACATCATGCCCACATATACAAAATAAAAATAACACCGCCTTAAATATATAAATATATATCGCTCTGTTGTAAATGTTCCTCCTGAGGCAGCGTTATCGAATGTCGAGTTTCCTTGTTAATTGTGCACCACTGCCAACTAAGCATCACCACATAATTTGTTCACAATCATGCACATCACGTAGTCACTGAAGAATACAACTGTGTTTTTTTATGTATCCAGTGTTTATTCCTGCAGGGTTGATGCTCAGTTTCTGGCTTTGCAGAAAGAACACATAAAGACCCAATAACTGTTTCACCGTTCCTTTGTACTCTACGTTTGTATTTGATGTAAACTATTTGATTCAGTGCAAAGCTAGCTGTCGCTGGTCTCTGTGCGCTCTCTTGGTAGGGGGATCTTGTAATTTCTTTAATGTGGTTAACCAATGCAAAACAAGTTAATATTTTACTGTCAACAAACAACCAAACACATATTTTTTGTGGAATATGAAACGACAATAAAACAGAGCTTCTGCATTTTCCAGTCGTACCATATTTTCTTCTCACATCCGTTTGTTTAACCCTTTGGTGTGCTAATTGTTTTTTTACCCTTTTATCTGGCAACAAAACTGACACCTTTTTTACAAGGAGTCATGTTTGCATTGACCACAATACCTGCGGTCGGAATGCAAACAAAAAACATAACTCTGATAATGTATTGGCACTGTCCTTGAAATTGATTGGTCCACACCCGAGACAGCTTTCCTTAGAGCCTAGTCTCACATGGTGTTGGACCAGATGACGCCAAAGGCGCACAACTCAAAGACAATGCTTCAATCTGTTGGGTTTTTTTAATGGCTACCATTAGTGTTTGATATCTGTCACTGCAGCATGTGGCTCTTCGGATAGCTGCGTGATGATAAGGATCACGTGTTTTCATTTTCTATGCTTGGCATGTAATTTGTCAGCCCCGGGTGCTTCAAGCATCCTTTATAAACACTCTAGGTGCAGGTGACATGTGCCGAATGGATTCGGTGCATTTCATAGCCCTGTTCCATAGTTCATTACCATCAACTGGCTCCCCAAAGCCAAGGCACGAGGCCCAATCGCCTTCTGCCAGTTATTTTTTTTTCAAGGTCACCTGTAAGAGAAATCGGAATATATACGTAAAAAATACACTCCATCCATCTCTTCATATTATCTGAAATACCTAATTTGTCCTTTTGTTTTGTTTTTTAACATGGACCATGAACCCTTATGCAAAAGAAAAGTCATAACGCTGCCCTTCATTACCAAGGTTTCGAATAGCATATTTTGTTAACATCAGTGCTCCAGATGTAAATGTTGAAGACCCCAGTAAGAAACCGATTCGTCCTGCCGTTTGCCCTCTGCGGAAACACCGGAGTGTAGGAATAGGAACCGTTCTGAAAAGTAACAGGACAGTATATGTTTCGATTTAAAGCTTTCGTGACTGCAAGGATTCATCTTCTTTGGTTCTTTCGGTAAAGTCACGTAGAATGAGAATAAAATAATAAATGAATAAAATTAAATAACACAATAAAATTCTCACAACGTGTTGTGGCCGAAAGAACCAAAGAAGACAGTATATGTTCTCAGTGTTAAGTGACGGTATGGAGTACCGTTGGATTTTTACCAATTTCGACCACTGGTTAATGTCAAAACCATACTGTATTTGTTATTATCTGTGCGTGTGTGCATGAGCAAGGTATACACCCGCTACGGAAAGTGCTACACTTTTAATTCGGGCAAGGATGGGCGTCCACTCCTCACCAGCATGAAGGGTGGCATGGGCAACGGGCTGGAGATGATGCTGGACATTCAGCAGGACGAGTACCTGCCCGTGTGGGGCGAGACCGGTGAGTGTACATGCGCACGTGCCAATGCATCGACTCTGTGGCTGCTGCGGTTATGTGAGCGCCATGTATTCCCGTGCCCTGATCCCCCATTTGCTTTCAGACGAGACATCGTTCGAGGCCGGGATTAAGGTGCAGATCCACAGTCAGGATGAGCCACCTTTCATCGACCAACTTGGCTTTGGCGTGGCCCCGGGTTTCCAAACCTTCGTGTCCTGCCAGGAGCAGCGGGTGAGTGTTCACTTTGTGCAGGCTGCTTCAAGTCAGTTTAAGATAAATAACTTCCTGCTTATGTCCAAATACAAATATTAGGTAAAATATGAAGTCTGTCGTGAAAACACGAGTTCAAGAATATCAATATTACAAATATACAGAGGCTGAATGTCATGCACTCATGAGGACTTGGAGCGCGATGGTGAATCCGATGTATTATTTTGTGCCCCTTGCACTCCACTTGGTTATTTTGTACACGTTGCAATCTGCCCACTTGCCGATGTTATGAAAATGTGCTGTCTGCTTCCATGCTCAAACGAGCACGGGGCAGTGCTCTTTCCTAGTTGTTGTCCTAAAGGAGTGGGGAAGGGCAAGGGGGGGGGGGGGGATTTGCCACATTATTATGGTAGGAACCAGTTTCCCAAATTAAAAGTCCATTTTACATTTCCAGAGTCGAAATCAATTTATACAATTCAAAGGCGGCCAAGTCCTCATAGATGCTCATTAACAACACTTGCCCCAAACGTCTGTAAAGGCTATACGGGAAATCTTTGCCTTTGTCATGCTATACAGTGAGGGAAAAAAAGTATTTGACCCCCTGCTGATTTTGTACGTTTGCCCACTGACAAAGAAATGATCAGTCTATAATTTTAATGGTAGGTTTATTTGAACAGTGAGAGACAGAATAACAACAACAAAATCCAGAAAAACGCATGTCAAAAATGTTATAAATTGATTTGCATTTTAATGAGGGAAATAAGTATTTGACCCCTCTGCAAAACATGACTTAGTACTTGGTGACAAAAGCCTTGTTGGCAATCACAGAGGTCAGACGTTTCTTGCAGTTGGCCACCAGGTTTGCACACATCTCAGGAGGGATTTTATCCCACTCCTCTTTGCAGATCTTCTCCAAGTCAATAAGGTTTCGAGGCTGACGTTTGGCAACTCGAACCTTCAGCTCCCTCCACATATTTTCTGTGGGATTAAGGTCTGGAGACTGGCTAGGCCACTCCAGGACCTTAATGTGCTTCTTCTTGAGCCACTCCTTTGTTGCCTTGGCCGTGTGCTTTGGGTCATTGTCATGCTGGAATACCCATCCACGACTCATTTTCAATACCCTGGCTAAGGGAAGGAGGTTCTCACCCAAGATTTGATGGTACATGGCCCCGTCCATCGTCCCTTTGATGCGGTGAAGTTGTCCTGTCCCCTTAGCAGAAAAACACCCCCAAAGCATAATGTTTCTACCTCCATGTTTGACGGTGGGGATGGTGTTCTTGGGGTCATAGGCAGCATTCCTCCTCCTCCAAACACGGCGAGTTGAGTTGATGCCAAAGAGCTCCATTTTGGTCTCATCTGACCACAACACTTTCACCCAGTTGTCCTCTGAATCATTCAGATGTTCATTGGCAAACTTCAGACGGGCATGTATATGTGCTTTTTTGAGCAGGGGGATCTTGCGGGCGCTGCAGGATTTCAGTCCTTCACGGCATAGTGTGTTACCAATTGTTTTCTTGGTGACTATGGTCCCAGCTGCCTTGAGATCATTGACAAGATCTTCCCGTGTAGTTCTGGAGTGATTCCTCACCGTTCTCATGATCATTGCAACTCCACGATCTTGCATGGAGCCCCAGGCCGAGGGAGATTGACAGTTATTTTGTGTTTCTTCCATTTGCGAATAATCGCACCAACTGTTGTCACCTTCTCACCAAGCTGCTTGGCAATGGTCTTGTAGCCCATTCCAGCCTTGTGTAGGTCTACAATCTTGTCCCTGACATCTTTGGAGAGCTCTTTGGTCTTGGCCATGGTGGAGAGTTTGGAATCTGATTGATTGATTGCTTCTGTGAACAGGTGTCTTTTTTACAGGTAACAAGCTGAGATTAGGAGCACTCCCTTTAAGAGTGTGCTCCTAATCTCAGCTCGTTACCTGTATAAAAGACACGTGGGAGCCAGAAATCTTTCTGATTGAGACGGGGTCAAATACTTATTTCCCTCATTAAAATGCAAATCAATTTATAACATTTTTGACATGCGTTTTTCTGGATTTTTTTGTTGTTATTTTGTCTCTCACTGTTCGAATAAACCTACCATTAAAATTATAGACTGATCATTTCTTTGTCAGTGGGCAAACGTACAAAATCAGCAGGGGATCAAATACTTTTTTCCCTCACTGTATTAAACCTTCAGTTCCATCTGATGTGCCAATTTTCATTAAATTACAATTCATGAGTTTCTGTCTGGATCACATTCGTGAGAAGATGTAAGTATTTGAAATTGTGCTGACAAGCGTTCAAGTCGTGTTCCCATTACTTGCTCATAAATATACGGATAATTCGGTGCACTTTTCACACCTTTAAAGGTAATTGCCATGTATCTATAATCAAGTAAAATAAATCGAGCTTGCAAATACATGTGCATGTAATTAATTGATTTTGCAATACCTGTAAAATATGTAGCACTTGCACAAAGTTGCTTAGCAAGAATTACTATTGTAGTTATTTTCATTATGATAACATAACAAACATTGAATTCCTTGAAACACTAAAAAAAGTATTGTCCAACTCAGCCCAGCCGTTCTTTGCATGGCACACTAGTTGACAAACATAAAATCGAAATGTTTGCAACACCAAATATAGGCACAAATGAACGAATACAAACAAAATATATTTCACTCACGATAAATCTTACGAGGTAGGCAAAACATAAAAAAATGTACAATATGCATTGCCATGGATACAGATTCAAGTTTTGTGTGTCCTCATATGAGCGTATTTGTGCCCGAACACTCTGTAAGCTCCATTGTGCCTTCAAGAGTTTTGTTATCAAAAGATTATTGTCCTCACTGTTCATCGCATTATCATGTCTAGAGCATGTCCATGTAGCGTTCATGGTTTAAACTGTTCAAAATGGAAACCTCTCCACCTTCAATCATGGCAATAATCCACATAGCCTTTCATAAAAAAGAACATTTGCATATAAATCGAAATTGTAATTTGTGGCCGACCCCATGCAGTGTCACATCTAGAGTTTGCTAATATTAGCATTCCACGGGGCCAACAGGCAGAGAGGGGGCAGCAGGCATAGATACATCCTTAAGACACTTGATTAAGACTACTGTCAGCATTTAAGGTAATACATCAATGACTAATATTTATGCTGATGAGCCATAGGTTTTAAATATCTGCTATCGAGTGCTGCACATAAGCTGAACCTAAGCTGTTTGAGGGTAGTCGTATTCAGTAGATACTGGCAATGATGGAGCTGCTGCTGATGTTGATGATGACCATGTGGGTGATGGTGATGACACCTCTGTCGACTTGCCCAGCTCACCTACCTGCCTTACCCATGGGGGGACTGCAAGGACACGCCGCCCGAGTCAGAATTCTTCGACACGTACAGCATCGCGGCATGCCAGATCGACTGCGAGACTCGCTACTTGGTGGAGAACTGCAACTGCCGCATGGTGCACATGCCTGGTGGGTATTATGTATGTATGTTGAACTTCTTTCGCACTCTACGTAGCTAACCGTCTTGGGGAAGGACAACAAAATAAACCTTAATAGCAGTTTTACACAAAGTTCTCCGTACAGCCATACAGACTCCAGGGAAAATTTTGTCAGCAAGCAACTATTAAGGGCGGCACAATGATCAAGAAGGTGGCATTACCAGCACAACGCTCAGTCGCCTTTGTCTTCCCAGTACTGATATTTATTCACTGCACTAGCCACTCACTTAAGGCTTAGTCGACCTAGGGGAGGCCGTGCAGTGTACTAGCCACTACACTACCAGGGTGTGGGGGGGAAGTAGTTTTACACAAAGACAAAGATCCGCCGTATGGCCTTAACAGACTGTTGGGGCAAGTGCTCTTTGCAAGCGCCCATGAAGGCCGGCATGGCACACGAGGAAGTGGGTGGCCAGCACTACGCCCGGCCGCCTTTGTCTCGCTAGTGACAATGTTTACACACCACACCTGGTCCTCATTTGAGGCTGATTCGACCTAGAGGAGGTTCATGACTGGTCACTCGTGTTGGCCGTGAGCGGGAATCGAACTCGGGTTGCCATGTTCATGGCACAACACGCTAACCGCTGTACTACTGCTCACCAAAGTTGTTACACCCACACACTTGCACTCACAGTCCCTCATTGTGAGCATTATCTTAGTGGTTAGAATGAACACAACACAACAATTTCAATCACCCAAATTCAAGTCTGGCCATATACACTCTTGCTAATTGGTATCTGAAGATATCCTGAACCTCTCCTAGGTCAACACAGCCTATATGACTTATTGCATTTTCATATTCTTTGGGTCTTTCGGTAAAGTCACATATATAGGTTCAAAGAAAATAACAAAAACTATAACGTTTCGATTGCAACACAAGCGGTCGTCATCAGGATTTTTTTTTTTAAACGCTGGGGAGACAAAGACGGCCAGGTGTAATTCTGGTGACACCACCCACTGGTATCTTACGCTGGGTTAAATTAGTTCTCCGTAAGTTGAATTTTCATCAACCGCCAAAAAGGGTTTAATGTGTAGTGAGTCCAACTCAGTCACAGACGTTATCTTGGGAGCAACACTTTATTCCGCATTAACACGCAACACAACACGATCTACACTCGGGTCTCGAATGCCCATCTAACCACGTTACGGCAAAACTAGACATGGTTCGCTATCCCGGTCCGGACCACAAGCTGGGTCCCAGACCACGTAGCTAGAGGCTTCTTCTCCCCGACGTGGATCTTCGTAACACCGGCACACGAAGAACCCCGAGCTCCTCACGGGGCCCTCGTTATATGCCCCTGGGCTGGGACTGGCTCAGTCCTTCGACCTTCCAGGTCTCTCGAGCTCCTTCTCGTAGGTTCCTGAGAGCTCCTTTGGACCACGTGACCGCCCCACAGCCCCCGTCCACCGGTGGCCCCCTTCCAATATCGTCCGGTCACATGACAGCAGGTTAACCAGCGTATCATGCCCCAAGGTAACCCTGGCTGGCTGACGCTCCCTCTCGCTCCCTCACCGGGAGCCCGCACTGCTCGTGGTGCCTCCGCCCCAACCAGCGCTCACCCAAGCCCCGCTAGTGATGGTACTGCATCCCGAAACCCGGGCTGCCCGTAATGACAACACATTACCCGCCGTGGCTTCGCAAGCATCGGCATAATACAGTGACAAGCACAGTCACTACACATGTGTAGTGTCTTCAAAAATTACTCACACCGACACGTTGTAACAAGTCACCTGCTTACACTTTATTCAACTTTTTTTGCACCAGTCGTAGGCACTCCTATAACTATCTATACGGTCACTTATGTTTTAACTTATCCCCACTCTTTTCTACCTTTCATCTCACTTATCCTGCACTCGGCAGCTCTGCTCTCAGCGACTCCGCACACAGCATCCTCGCACACAGCATCTCCGCACACAGCATCTCTACATCTCCACCGCTGCCCTCACCTTCGCTCCCTCAGACCCGCTCAGCCGTCTGTCCCAGGCAGGGGGATCAGCCAACACCCGCCCGGCGATGGCGTGAGGGTTGAGGTCCCGTTGACGGCTGGAGCGGCAGCGAGATGTCTTCACTCTTCGTCCCCGGCAACAACCATGGAGAAACAATCTCCTGAGAAGCCAATAAAAACCATCACTTTACCATACATAGTAGGTGTTACCAAAAAGATTTCCAAAATCTTAAACAAACACAAGATCCAGGTCCGATTCAATACAGTACACAAAATCCGTGATCTAATCCCATTTGTGAAGGATGTCATTCCTGACATGCAATACCCTGGAGTCTACAAACTGAGTTGTACCTGCGGTAGCAGTTAAATTGGGAAAACGAAACGACATGTCTCGGACCGTGTTCGCGAACACAAGGCAGATCTGAATCACGGCAGAACCAATACCTCTGCAGTAGCTGACCATTGTTATAATGCTGTGGGCTCACATAATATTGTTTTTTCCGAGACCAAGGTACTCTACAAACCTTCGGGCAACTATCAAAGGTTTGTTCATGAAGCCATCCAGATATATAAACATAGACATAACTTCAACCGAGAAGATGGATACAAATTGAAAAATCATTGGATGTTATTAACCAGGTAATGCCCTAACTGGTTGTAGTTGTTTCCATCCTACCTGCCGTTTGCTAGTAGATTTTTTTTTTATCCATGTGTCCCACACTCAGCTTCTCACTTCTATCTCCGCCCACTTCCCCCCCCCCAGCCTCACGTCCTCTTCCCCTAGCGCTCACGCAGCCCCCCCCTCCCCCTTCTTCTACCCCCTCCCCCTCTCTCTCTCCCCTTGCCTCCCCCCTTTCTTACCTATATAACCTCTTGCCACGGCAGCTCTCTCGCCTACTTCAGCATTTTCTTGCTGTGGTTGTTCCACTTGATGAAGATTGCTTGTGTTGCAATCGAAATATCGTGATTTGTTTTCTTTTCTTTTATTTCTACCTACGTGACTTTACCGAAAGAACCAACGAGTATAGGTACACTCTTTGGGTCTTTCGGTAAAGTGGCACTGCTGGATTATTTTTTTCCGCCTGAGGACGACTGCTTGTCTTGCGATCGAAACGTCGTGATATCTTATTTTTTATTTTGTTTATTTTTATACCTATGTGACTTTACCAAAAGAACCAAAGAGTATGGATTCCTGCAGTCACGAAAGCTTAAAATTAATTTGTATATGTAATTTTGTATAATTTTAAAGGCTTTTGAACTATTTGCATCAAATATGTATCATTTTAACTCCAGAGAAACGGTAGAATGTTTGACCTCAGAATGCTTACATATGTTTAATTGCATCGGTATGATTATCATATTCAACATTCTTAATTTTATTTTCACACACTGTGTGGATAAAGCTTATGCCATTTTGTTCATTTTAGAGACATTCTCTAGCGAAGTGGTGCTACATAAATGTGTGAACTTTACGAGAATTTCGAATTTTCACGTGTTGTAATTTCATTAAATCATGCAATGTTCCTTTAAACTTTTTTTCTGATTATCATTTGCAGTAGTAAAGCACTCAATTCAAAACATAAATGTGTTCGTTGTAATACTGGTTGAGATATGAGAGCTCATCATCCCTCATGGGTTCATAAAATTACTACCATTTATGGGAGAGTTACAGTGGTTGTCATTTGAAAATAAAACAGATTTAGTCCATTAACAGTTGAGCACCACTCAGTGATTTGAGACTTTGATTGAACTATTATACATACAGGAATGTAATTACTTTAGACTTAATTGATGTACATGAAATGACACCGATGACTGTACTAGGAGCCTCTTTGTTTTATACACAGCTAGCTTTACTACCCGGCTTCGCCCGAGACTTGGATTCTTGTCTTGGATTAATACACAGCCTACGCGGAGGGTTGGGGGGGGGGGGGGGATGCGTGACGTCAGCAGGCACACTGCGTAACGCTTCCGCATGCGGGTGACATCACAGGTGTGACGTCACCGCTCACTTGCTATGCAAAATATATCCATTATTGCGCCCCAAGAACAGGAACTCTGGCCGGTGAAAGCAGCGGTCCAGCAGCGGGCGACACCGCCGGTTTCAGCACAGGTGGACCAGATGAAACAGCGGTCTCTTCCCCTCCCGTCATGTCGATCAAGGGCGCTGTAGGCGGTAAAGAAACAGACTCTGGAAGATCACCCTGCATAGGAGCAGCAGGCCTGTTGGCCACGTCAGGCATCGGGATTCCGGGATTTGGGGATGACGATGGCCCTATGGGAGCAACGAACGGTTTCAATCGTGACAGGTGAACGTACCAACGCCGGCGACCGTGACGAACACGGACACACTGAGGGCGCAAAACTTAAACGATCATAACAGGCCCCTGCCATGGTCTGTGGAGCTTAGGAGACGTGCCAACGGGCACCTGCGGGCAATGACGCCACGCCCGATTCCCCACTGACCATGGCATGTCCGATTTAGACCTCCGTGCACAATGCTCGTTCCGAGCCTGGGTCTTATAAGTATTCACCCTGGCAGCCTCCCGAGCCTCGGAAACACATCGAAGGAACTCGCGGATTTAATCCGGAAGAGTCGACTTAGGAGGCAGCACAGGGGAACCAAATTGGACATCAACAGGTGGCACGTTCTCCCTCCCATACATGAGGAAGAACGGCAAATATCCCGTGGAAGCGTGAGGTGCCATCTGGTAGGCAGAGAGGACGCTGGGTATCTACAGATCCCAGTCGACCTGTCGGTAATTAACAGTCTGGCACAACATGGCGGACAAGGTGCGATTTAGATGCTCGACCATACCATCCGTCTGAGGATGGTAGGGAGACGTCGAAATCTTCTTGGTACCCAAAATAGTGCACACATCACGCAACAATTTAGAAGTGAAATTCCTACCCTGATTAGTAAGCAACTTTTCTGGAGCCCTTTTATCCATCACAAAGCCATTCACGATGCCATCATCGATGGATAAAGCGCATTGATCTGGCAGGGGCCACGCCACCGGCCAATGGAAAAAATATTCGCTGCCAACGAGAAGAAATTTATTCCCATGAGGCGTCACGGAGAATGGTCCCAACACGTCCAATGCAACCAATTCATTGACGTGCGTGATAGAGATTGACTGCAAAGGCGGAATGTAACGCTGCCGGAGTGACTTCCGCCAGGCACACTCGGTGCACGAGCGGAGCACTCCAATGACATCAGACGTCATACCCGGCCAATAATCCTCTGAAGGGTAAGCAACGTTTTCTGAACGCCAAGATGGAAAAGGCGTTCAGAGTGCAATGTGCGGATCAACCCCACACATAGAGAACTTGGCACAACCAATCTCGGCCGGAGCGACGTTTAATCCTGCCACATCAATAGGCCATCAAGAAAAAAAACACGGCCCTCCTTAACAGATTCCAAATCACCCAAAATCAGTACGGCCTGATCACGCAAAGAGATCAAAGATGAGTCAGAGAATTGCTCCCGCATCCACAGCAACCGCGAAAGATGCAACATGGCGTCGGCGGGGGGGACTGCGCATCATCCGTAAGCGTCTCAACTGAGGACACGGCCAACGGCCGAGACGTGCCCGGATGAGAACAGCGGTTTGTGCCAGAACGGCACACACACCGAGATGCGTGAGGTAACCGCGACAATGCGTCAGCATTGGCATGATGAGTCCCCTTCCGGTAGGTGACGTCAAATGTGAACTCCTGTAAGCACTCCAACCAACGTGCCAACTGAAAAAGTTTAACAAAATGAACGATCGCGAGCAGCTCCCGACGAGTGACACAATAACGGGTCTCTGCCGGCGAAGATACCCGACCACCATATGCCTCAACACGCTCGACGCCCCCCTTCACCTGCGACAGGACAGCCCCGATACCCATGTCACTGGCATCAGTGTCAAGGATGAAGGGGGACGAAAAATCGGGGTGATCAAGAGTAGGCACGTCAGACAAGCTATCACACAAGGCATTGAATGCAGCCTCCTCATCTGGACCCCAGTGGAACCTCTGATTTTCTGCCCGTAAGCGCATGCAATGGACGCAAACCCCGGAATGAACTGCCGGTAATAGGAGGCGAAGCCCATGAAGCTCCGAACATCCCCTATACTCGTAGGGACCGGGGAATCACGAACACACGCCGTCTTTTCCGGATCAGTCGAAATTCCGTCGGCACTCATAATGTGACCCAAGTATCGCACCGAATTCTGTAAGAGGTGAAATTTTTTGGTTTAAATTTGAGATTAGCAGAACGCATGCGCTCAAAAACAGCGCGCAGTAGGAGGAGGTGGTCATCAAACGACCAATTGAACACAATGACGTCGTCCAAATAAATAAGACAAGTGTCCCATTGGAGCCCAGCCAGGACAAGTTCCATGAGTCTCTGGAATGTGGCAGGAGCGGCATTCAATCCCATGGGCAAACAGTTACATTCAAAAAGACCCTGCGGGGTACAGAATGCGGTCTTCTGCCTCGAAGACTCATCGAGGGACAATTGCCAAAGCCCGGAAGAGAAGTCCAGGGTAGTGAAGAACCGTGCAAGCATCCAAGGAATCATCCATCCGAAGCAAGGGATACGCGTCTGCCACGGAGACCGTATTAAGGCGGCGAAAATCCACGCAAAACCGGAGGTTGTCATCCTTTTTCTTAACCAAAACTACCGGGGCGCCCCATGGGCTAGTGGATGCTGAAATAATAGCAGCGGCAAAAATGTCATCAACGGCACGCCACATGCTCTCTTTCTCTGACGGCCCCATATGATGATCGTTCAACCGAATGGGGCTAGCATCACTAGTCGAAGTCGTCCTTGCTGAATACATCAGAAAATTCGGACAACAACATACGCAACCCGTCACGCTGAGCCGGAAATAGGGACGCATTCTTTCCGCACAATTCGGCGATCCATCGATGATCAGACGGACATTTATCCCCGACAGCGCAGACAGCCTGCGCAGGCATATGTTCCGCACAATCGGTAAATGCGGTGGTAGCGTGAGCAAGAACAGTACCCGCGGGCACAATAACATCTCCAAGGCCCCCATTCAAAACCTTCAAAAATGGGGCCTGACCCATTCTGAGAATGGTTTGAGCACAAACAGACGTCAGCCCTCGTGTAGCAGTATTCGAAGGCGTCAATAAAATCCCATTCACCCCGACGTCGTAAGCGGTTTTCTTGCGATAATGGAGCGGAATCAACATTTGGGAACCCGATGGAACCATAACGGTGGCATCAACCAAAGCCTGAACTGTATCCGAGGAGGCCGGTCGTGGAAGCGGCGATGACAAAAAGCACAATTTACGACCCGACGGCAATTCGAGACATTCCTGATCCACAATAATCTTAAGTGGCATTCTCGACAAAAAGTCAGTACCTAGCAAACACGGCACGGACAACGTATGTGAAATCAGAACGGCACCCGTGGCCCCAGGTGGATTTTTCTTTTTCTGATGTTTAGACATCGTGTCTTGCGTAGAACTCTATCAGAAAAAGTCCACTTAAGTGGCTCCAACACAGTAAGAACTTGAAGTCGTTTATTAATAAATCTTCGGTACAGCTTGGTTGTCTCTTGTATCATTCTCACTACAGAATATTCGCCGCCCAGGCGGCTTCGCTGCCCCACGCCACGCGGTGCTCACCCGCTCGCCGACACGCCGCTGGCTGACGGCGTGCTGGGGAGCGGCTGAGCGGCTGAAGGTCGAGCCACCACATGGCCGATGGAGATGGCAGGGCAGCAGCGACAGGGAGCTCCTCTTGATCTTGAACACTGACCCCGCACCTTGCTCTGGCCCCCGCTTATATATGCTCCCCGGCGACTAAGCCCCGCCTCTGGCCACGCCCCTCCTGGAACTTTTGGGAATGCTCCAGAGGCTTCCCGGGTGGCTCCGCCCCCTCACCTTTGCTCTAGATATAACCCCTACCAGAGATAAACCATAACTGCATAATGAGTAACGCCCCACATAATACAGGAGATGGCACTCTCATTACATATACAGTACATAGACAACAACACTAGGCCCGGGCTTTGTTCTTGATCTTAAAGCTCGTCCCTTCCCTCGAACGTCCCCTCTCGTTGTGCTCTCCCCTTTCATCCTTCTTAAGCCCCCTTTCTCGAACTTTCCCTCATTGTTTATACCGCAGCCAATCCTCTGTCATTCTCCAACGGTTTCCAATCGTCGCCTCCAAGTTCCCTGCAAATTGCCACAATTAAGAATATCCATATTTTTTAAACGTGTATTGCCATGTACAAAACATATAAATAATGAATTGCAACTCTTTGAAGGGAAGGGTATTGTTCATAACATGTCCATTATTATGAAATTGCCTCATGCACGAACATAACATTGCTGAAATGCATTAGTGCTAGGATGTTGCATTCAAGATGAACAAAACACACACCTGAATAATACAGATCATATTGCACAATTGATTAAACTATCTGCATGCAGATCGTGCTTGCAGCTTAGTTTATTCCCAGTCATTTGTATTTTTGTAAGGTATGTTACACAAATTCACACTCAAGCGTGTGACACTTGAAGCAAGTTTAAAAGTCCTCTCTTGCTGAGGAGTTGTATTAAATGGGCATTTGATTGAAAAAACATGACTCCATAATATAATCAGTCAAGCTTCTCTGTTGCAGCGAGTTCTCATTTGTCGATAATATTTTCTATCTTTGAAAGGCTTCCTGCCACATGTGAATATTTAATGAAATGCATGTTAACAGCAGCAAAATTCACAATTGTTTGACTTCCTCTTTTACTTACTTTTGTGCTTTCGGATAAATGAGATTAAACACTTTGAGAGTTTGAATGATTTGTGAAAGTTAATCACATTTGGTTTGCAAAGTTTACAGTTTTCGACATGAAACTGATACATTTGGTTTGTGTAAGTGCAAATTATTGTTAACAAAGTTATTGATTACAAAAAGTTTTTATATTGAGACAAATATATTTAAATCACACATTGTGTAAATAATGCACTTTCAATACTCATTTACTGTTCTTGGCAGAATCTAAGTTATGGCTTTATGTTTCTTTCAGTAATGAGATTACTACAATAACATACACAAAACTACATCCAATTACCACGTTGGTGTCAGTGTTGGTGTCAGTGTGCTGTTCTGCTCCTGAAAACCAATAACACTACTATGGGAACCTTTTGCCATTAAGCAGACGTGAATAAAGAATGGCTGCAATACCGCAGCTGCGTATCATTAAAGAGTACCAGACCGGTTTGGTGTGCGTCGTTAGTGCAGTGATGCGTGTGTGCAAGCTTGTGTGATTGCTTGTGTGTTTTTATCCACTCTGAACAGGAGACGCTCCTTACTGCACTCCAGAACAATACAAAGAATGTGCAAACCCTGCCCTGAGTGAGTGTTCACCCTCCAGTATCTCCGCACGAACACTCCACTGCACCAGCACACCCCACTACACCATTACACGCCATAGCTCTATCACACCTTCAGGGGCACGAGTCAGGCTGTGCTGGGTGGTACTCATCACCATGGTTAGTAGCCACATTTTCTCTGCAGAGAGACCACTTTTTGGCTACCTGTATGATGTTAAGGAACCTCACCATTTCGTACTCATTTTATGTATTCCAGAAAGATGATAGGCTGTTTCAGAGCACAATGTAAAGGCATTGGAGCTTTATATTTGTAAAGACGGTATATCCGCCACTAGGGGGTTAGAGCGCTGTTGCCACCCACATGGGTATGGTACACGAACGGCCCTAGGGGGCGTGATTCGAGCAGTCAAGGGAACGAACCTTCTCGGAGGTGCGTAGCCAGAGGGCGGGGCAAGGCCACGCTGAACAGGATAAAAGGGAAGCACCGAGAGCATCGAGGGTCGATTCAGTGGGTAACGTTCGGTGGGTCCGGTCATGTCGTCGGGTCGTGGATCTTCAATAGCCTCGTGTATAAGGGGTTACCTAGTGATAGATACGTCTACACCAATTATGGAACCAGTTCCGATATAAGGAAGTGTTGATAAACAGGTTGCCTTAAACCACGAAGTGTGTCTCCATTTATCAGCACTATAACTGGTGTCAGGAGTTATAATAGTTGGTGATAGCGTAGTCCACTCATATTAACAAGGAGGAAGCAACTTCCAAGTTCGTCTTTGGACGAGGACGACCACGACGACGGGGCTCTCCCACAATCGACTCTGGGTGCTCAGGACCCGGAGATGGAGCGGGACGCTGTTATGCTGGCGATGCAACGAGATGACCGAAACCTCACCACGTCGCCGCCTCCAAGGATTGAGCGCCGGACCAAGAAAGACGTTATGGGAGACCTCCTGGCCGCCATTACTGCTTTAGCTGCCATTATGCAGCAGGAGGACAACGAGGAGATGCCCGTGCAGCGTCCCGGTACTTCAACCGCTGCTGTTTCCCGCGCGCGGGAAACCGGAGGGACACAAGCAGCGCAAGCAGCCACCATTTTGGATAGCAGGAAAGGAAACAACTCCTGCCAAATTGCAAATTCCGCCGCCAGCACTACCCCAGGACCATGGACTCAAGAAGAGGCTGCCATTCATCAAGGAATTTACAGCAACTGGCGGCAATTGGGAAGCATTTAGACGCCAATTTACTGCCGCTTACAAGCTATCCAACTGGACGGAGGAGGAGGCGCTACGTGTGCTGCCAACAGCGTTCGACGACGACGCTCTGGCGACGTTCGATGCTATTCCCGAAGAGGACAAGCCCTCTCTGTCCCAAGCTCTGGCTCAGATGGAGCTAATCTATGCTCCTCAGTCGCACAAGCGCCAGAAGTTCGCCACGCGGAGACGGGGGGAGGCCGAGACGCCTTTCGCAGCGCGCTTCTGGCGTTACCGAAGTCAGCCTACCCCAGGATGGACCAGGTCGGCAGGGACTCGCTGGTCCTGGAAAAGATGCTCTTGCTCGCCTGGACACTACAGGTTGTGCTGCCTGTGATGGAAGATGATGACCTCTCTTTGCTCAGAATTGCGCGGTGCCTGGAGGCACACTTCAGCATTCAGCGACACTCCGACGTGGCTGCAGGCGTCCTTACCTCCACGGACGGCGGAGCGGCCGAAGACGGAGCATCGCCAAGAGCCTGCGCTTCCTTCTCCGGGGGTAGGGGAAGGAAGGCAAATGGGAGTCTACACGGCGACCGAGGACGTCCAAAGGAACCTTCTCGCCAGAGGGACGGCCGATGGCCTGGCCGGTGCCGGACCAGTCGGCTGCCACCATTACTGATGCTTTCCTCCATGGGTATGTTTTGGATAAAGGAGCCCCGGAATGTCTCCTTACAGACCAGGGCAAAAAAAAATATTTTAAATTATTCAAGGAAGTGTGCAGCCTGTTGAGCATAAGAATAGTCCACACTTCACCCTATCACCCACAGACTGATGGCATGGTGGAACGCCTACATAGGACTCTAACATCCATGCTGTGTCACCAGGTCACTGAGGATCAGTCTGACTAGCACCTGCACTGTCCTGTTGTTCTGGCGGCGTACAGATTGGCCCTGCACGCATTCACCAGCTTCTCGCCATATTTTCTTATGTATGGGAGGGAGTATGATCCACCCATCGAGGTTCAATTGAATCCGGAGCTGGGGAAAAGGAAACTGGCCGACCCCTTGTGCCTTACCCTCAAGCACTTGTCAGAGGCTAGGGAAGCCTCTCGGGGGAATTCGGGCCTGAGGCAAGCCGCAAATGAATGGCTGGTTGCTCTCCGGGAATCTGGGACTAAATGGGAGCCGGGTGATAAGGTTTGGCTCCACTGCCCCCAAGTTCCGATGGGTACGTCCCCGAAACTGTACAAGCCCTAGCAGGGTTCCGTCATAATCGTTAAGGTAGGATAGCAAGCCCGCAGAGTGTACGCATTCAGATCGGTCGCAGGCACTGGTTCGTGCATGCGTTGCGACTGAAACCTTTTTATCCGCACGACAGTGCGGATAAAAAGGTTTCAGTCTGCACTAACTGAGGGCTGTGTGTCAGGCGCACCCAGTGAGCCAGGCCAAGGACTAGGGGACATTGTCCATTAGGCGTCCACTGACTCTCTGCCCAAAGGATCCCAGCGCTTAGGGACCGCGGAGCGACTAGCTTCACCTGCAAGGGGCGGACTTCCTCCAACGTCTTCTCATTCTCCTTCTACTCCGGAGAGGAAAAACCCGTCAGGACCACTTCCAACGGTCCCTGGAGGCCCAGCGACGAGGACCCGCTCTAAAACGAGCCTCTTAAGTGACTTTCATGTTCACTTGAGGGACAAGTCCTAATGCCGCTGGGTTACATTTGGTCACTTTTCATGTTGTTATTGGAGGTTAGTTACAGCCGGGGTCGGTTGTGTTTTGTAAAGGGGGGGTAGTATAATGACGGTATATCCACCACTAGGGGGTTAGAGCGCTGTTGCCACCCACATGGGTATGGCACACGAACGGCCCTAGGGGGCGTGATTCGGGCGGTCAAGGGAGCGAGTCGTCTGGGAGGTGCGCAGCCAAAGGGTGGGGCAAGGCCACGCTGAACAGGATAAAAGGGAAGCGCCGAAAGCGTCGAGGGTCGGTTCAGAGGGTAGCGTTCGTCGGGTCGTGGATCTTCAATAGCCTCGTGTATAAGTGGTTACCTAGTGATAGATACGTCTACACCAATTATATAACCAGTTTCGATATAAGGAAGTATTAATAAACAGGTTGCCTCCAACCACGTAGTGTGTGTCTCCATTTATCAGCACTACACATTTAAGAAATGCCATTATGGTGATTTAAAATTCGCCTCTAATCACTGTACCTGATATGAGTTCAATGATGACGTCACCCTGCTGCTCTATATAAAACCGGGAGCAAGCAAGGGCTTTACCATTCTGGCGAATTGCCCGATGATGCTGGATGTATTTACCAGCGAAACGTCGTACTCAAACTGTAAATGTTGTGGATTCACTCTTCAACACACCGGTGGGCTAAAGTAGTGAATTATTTGTCTTTTGTCAACGTGACACTTTTTTTGCTGATTGGCCATGTTGGGTGGTGGAGGGTTACAACACATTTATAAATAACGCGATCTAACCCAAAAACCTTTATTATGAATTTGCATACAATGTAAAAATATGATCTTGTACTCGGTTTTAAAAATAACTGCTGGTTTTATATATATTTGAAGTTAGATTACAGCCCTTGATTGTTGAACGAGTGCGTAATTTAATGTTTTGAAAAAGTGCAGCTGCATATGTTCTTCAGTGTTCTTGGTGGAGAAAGACGACGACTACTGTGCGTGCGAGATGCCGTGCAACATCAAACGCTACGCAAAGGAGTTGTCAATGGTGAAGATCCCCAGCCAGGCCTCTGCCAAGTACCTGGCCAAAAAGTTCAACAAGACAGAGGCATACATTGCGTGAGTAGTGTTAGCACCAACCAAACCTATTCTTTAGCACACAAATCTGAGGACCTCTCGTACAGGGAGAAATGGCGTTACCACCTTGCCTGTATTGCTACCTTTTAAAGAAGCCCACCAGGTCAGTGGTCCCATCTGTGATGATGTCAGGTAAAAAATATTGTGATGCTCAAGTGAACGTCAGGCAGTGCTCATTATTGGTAGAAATTCCATGCATAAATACATGGGGGACCGTCTTTTCACAGGATACCCACTTTTGATTTCCCAGAAATTATTACTCATTTAATAGATACTGGGTGGGATGATGGGCTGAGTCGACCCCAGATTTGACCTTGAAACCTTTCAAACACATTCGAAAACAGAGATATGCATAGTCGCCATCTTCTATCCTCATTGGTTCGTAAACTAGAATTTGCCATGGTTTAAGAGTCCACAGTGAAGTAATTTTGCACGAAACTGCAACACATGGTTAATGCACATTTCGACATACTAAAGGCAACATTTACAGATTTTAAAACAATATATATAAACCCAACAACATGTAAACGAATGTAAAATGATCATACCATACTCTCATTATGCAAATATACTCTTGAAGTGGCTGAGCACGTGGTGATGCTGCCCTTTACAGGGAGAACGTTCTGGTGCTTGACATCTTCTTTGAAGCTCTCAACTATGAGACCATTGAGCAGAAGAGGGCCTATGAGGTGGCTGGTCTGCTTGGTGAGTGTGGTCATGGCCACCAGCTCTTCAGCCTCCTGGCTGTATAAATATGCACAACATGCATTGCATTGCTATGACGCTATAATAGCCTTATGGCAAGATGCACGGTTGCATGTACTGTATGTATATTGAACTTCTTTCGCACTGTACGTAGCCAACCGTGCTAATCGGAGGTGCGCTTGCCTGGCTTGTCTGACAATATCCTCCTGTTTGAAGGTGATATCGGTGGCCATATGGGACTGTTCATTGGTGCCAGCATCCTTACCATCCTGGAGATCTTTGATTACCTTTACGAGGTAAGACATAGCCCTCATAAACCACTCCAGCCCGACAGCAAGATTTCTGCTTGCAGGCTTAATAGGTGTCCCTGTTGTACGCACTCCACAATCGACAGCCTCAAATTGCCCTTACGCTGTAATGCAGCAATGCAATGCTGTTACACCAGCAGTTTCCAAGTTAATGCCTAAATGCAAGTGTAGTAGATGTGGAAAGTAGCGCTGGGGGTTGAGTCTAAAACGTTGCAAAGTTCATCACGACTGCAGTAGACTTGTGTCATGGATTGTGCCATGGACCCTGGCACTCTTGATCTATATAGCTCCATTTCAGTGAAGAGTATATGTTCACCAATGTGTCTGTACTTGACACCACTGCAATCATTGAAGACTTGGTCCAACAAGGACTGGATCCAGATGTACCAACTTTGGTAAGGCACTGTCTTACCAACACATACTTCACCTGGAATGGTACATTCTACAAACAAAATGAGGGTACCCCAATGGGTTCTCCCTTATCGCCAGTGGTAGTGAATGTTTTCATGCAGAAATTTGAGACAGATGCCATCCAGACATCCACCCTACGTACTTCCTTGTGGAAGAGGTACGTAGATGACACGTTCGTCAACTGGCCACATGGCCTGCCCGCACTGAACCAATTTCTGAACCACATCAATTCCATACACCCATCTATCAAATTCACCATGGAAGTGGAAAAGGATGGCAAGCTACCATTCCTGGATGTTTTGATCGAGAAGAGACCTGATAGCTCGTTGGGACATTCGGTCTACATGAAAGCCACCCACACAGATGCCTATCTAAAGCCTGACTCCCACCACCGTCCAGCCCAGAAGAATGCCCTCATCAAAACACGACACCATAGGGCCAGTTGCATCTCCGGCAAGCACCACCTCGCCAGTGAGTTGGAGCAAGTAAACCAAGCCCACAGGATGAACTGATACTCGGACCGTACAATCCACAAAGCTGTCTCCCCAGCCATACAGAGACAACCTTCTGAGGATCCAACCAAAACCATCACTTTACCGTACATAGCAGGGGTTACCAAAAATATTTCCAAAATCTTAAACAAACAAAAGATCCAGGTTCGTTTTGTTGTATATGAGCCTTTTCCAAAATTGATATTAACAATAATATCTGCCGATATATATTTTAATAATAAAGGAAATAATGCATAAAAACACACAAACCCAAAAACACGCAAACACAGATGGAGATCATAAACAGGCCATAAATAAATCAAGAAATAATAAAACTCTCAAGGCGAGGATGTAACAGCTATCGGCGAAGATCTCCAGATGAACAAATGGTTGATGTGCCCTAAGGGAGGTCACGCAGAGGGAAGCCCTCCGCAAGCCAGACACGAGGACGCCCACGGGTTAAACCATATTTTTTTTCCTTTGTCATTAAAACAACGGTTAAAATTTCAAATGCAATAACAAGAATAACCTAAAATTAGCGATCCTCACGATCACTCCAATTAAGACCAGGCCACCAGATGCATCAGTGAATCCTTATCCAATAATTAATTCGCTGTCAAATGATTTTCACCTTTAATACTTTTACTGTTAAATCACAAGCTTGGGTATAGAATACCGAGTCACGTCGAAGGTTTTCGAGAAGGAATGAGGCGAACGGGCAAACTTACGAAAGAGTTTAAACAATATCCCAAGCAACCCCGACCACCTTTGTATCTCCCGCAGAGCGCGAGGAAGCAATTTCACACCCTAGTGAGGAAAGCTGATGTTACGAAGAGGGTCACCCCCTCCCCCTCCAGGGGTGTGGCAGATGGCACACAAACACACACACGAACGCACACACACACACAGACCACGCGCCCCCCTCCCCTTTCCACTGCGCGGAGAGAATTATTTTTTAATATAACGGCTTTCAAAAGTTCAGTTAAGTTCAGTCAAGACAGATCAGCGAGTCAAGACGGATCAAAGGCACGAGCAGTCGCATGTAACAGCTGGCTCCGAGCCTCGCTGAGTAGCGAGGATCGCTGAGTCGCGATGTATCAACGAAAGTGAGTCCAGAAAGGGAACAAGTAACACTCAAAACTTTGTTCCGCCAATCAAGAGCGCGCAGCCATCCAGCAGCGGAAATAGACCGCCAGCACCGCCAAGCAAGCACGTGCAACGTGGCTCAACCAGCAGCGGAAAAGAGCCTGTATCTGCCAGCACGAGCAGCCGCCAACAACTTCAGCAAACCAGTGACCAAGCGCGTGCGACTTGAGTCATACAGCAGTGGAGGAAACCTGCTGTCAGAGAGCCGCCAACAACCTCAACAAAGAGAGCGCGTGCGACTCGGCTCACTCAGCAGAATAAAAACTTGACCTGTCGCCCGCGAGCGCAGCGTCAGATACTACAGCAGCGGAAAGAGCGCGCGCCGGCGCAGCTCATCCAGCAGTGGAGGAAACTGCTGTCAGCGAACCAGCACGGGCGCGTTCGCGCATCTTCAAGGAGAAAGAGCGCGGCCAGCAACGCCAAGCAAGAGCGTGCAGCAGCTTAGCCAGCAGTGGCGAGAAACTGCTGTCAGCGAACCAGCAAGGGCACGTTCGCGCATCTTCAAGGAGAGGGAGCGCGCGCCACCAGCGTGCCATCAGCACCAGCATCAGCACCAGCGCGTGCCAACAGCGCGCCACCAGCGTGCCACCAGCACCAGCGCGTGCCAACAGCGCACCACCAGCGTGCCACAGCGCGCAACTTCGCGTCACCAGGGCTGAGAGGGCAGCGGCCCCGCACTCAACACCCATCGGCGCGACGACGGCAAGCGTCGTGCTGACACTTTCAGCCAGCGGTGGACAGAAACTGTCGCAGCCGTTCCTATGCCCCAACCCCTCCCCCACACTCTCCCCCTCATTCCCCCACCGCGCCGCAACACACGATACGCATATCTGGATAATCAAGAAGGGTTGCTCCTCCAAGGTGGTGCATTAAAAATCAATTCATAACGAAAAATACTGCTGTCATTGAGTTGCATAATAACCAATCGTCCTACTGTTAACAACGTGATGAGAATTGACTTGAAGGTCTATGAATGGATGTGGTACTGTATGGGCAATGTTTAAATACGAATTTATATTATAAGGTTAAGGTTTTGATAGAATAGTTTGCATGTTTTTAACCTCTCTCAACAACCGATCGATTGCGTTACGTGTCGGGAATTAACCACAGGTGCCGTCATCAAAGTGAAACAACGCAATCGTGATGGTATCATGTTAACGCTGTGTTGAAATTCCAAGATCGAGAGTTTTCATATTATCCAAAAATTAAAGTGTAGCTAGAAAATAAAATTGATTAAAGCAGAAGGTTTGTGTGTGATTCCTCCTGAAATTCTGCATAAAATTGTTCTGCGAATGAGATCTGAATCCTGGGGACCTATCACCACACATAATCCATAACACAGATAATTCATAATGTTCAATCGAGAGTAATCGTATCCTTATCGATAATACGGAATTAAATAGCAGAGTCGAATCGACTCTCTCATTCATGCTCACAACACCTACAGAACTGCATACGATCAATTGCATTGTTCCAATTCATAACACAATCCTCGTCACCGAGGCTAGACATAATAATCATAACGAACTACATTATCATAACCACACCCACTCGCATAATTTAATGATTATCTCTCGAATCAGCATAATTTCGGATAAATTATGCAAATTTCATTTTATTTTCATTATTTTAATCAATTTTCATAACACCTATATATACAACAGTTTCAACACAGTACACAAAATCCGTGATTTAATCCCATCTGTAAAGGATGTGATTCCTGACATGCAATACCCTGGTGTCTACAAACTGAGTTGTGGTTGCGGCAGCAGTTACATTGGGGAAACGAAACGACATGTCTCAGACCGTGTTCGTGAACGCAAGGCAGATCTGAAACACGGTAGGACTAATACCTCTACCATTGCTGATCATTGATTTAACGCTGTGGGCTCACACGAAATTTATTTTTCCAAGACGGAGGTACTCTGCAAACCTACCGGCTACCTTCAGAGATTTTTTCATGAAGCCATCCAGATATATAAACACAGACACAACTTCAACCGAGAGGATGGGTACAAACTGAGCAATCATTAGAAAGACGTTATTAATCAGGTAAAGTCTTAATTGACTGTGATGTTTCCATCCTACTTGCCTATGTTAGCTGTTATTTCCGACTCTCTGTGTCTCTCTCTCTATGCCTCTCTCTTAGATCTTTCATGCTCACATGTCCTTTGCATTGCACTTTCATACTCACGTCTTTTGGATTGCACCCGTTGGGTTGCACTCCCTCGTCGAGGAGGCCGCTCTGTCTTACAGTTACATGATAATTTCTCACATTAACATCATGATTTAAAGCTTTCGTGACTGCAGGGATTCATATTCTTGGTTCTTTCGGTAAAGTCACGTAGAAGGGAAACAATAAAATATAAAACAATAAAATGTATTATTTTATTGGTTCCCTTCTACGTGACTTTACCAAAAGAACCAAGAATATTAACATCATACTAATCTCTCACATTAACATAGCCACTTCCGTGCATTCGTCGAGGAGGCCACTCTCCTTCTACAGATTACTATAAATAAAAATTTCCTTACATTTATGTTCAAATAATCTAAATGCATAGGAATAAGTTTTACCCTTTTAACTGGCACAAAAACTGACACCTTTATTCAAGGCATCATGTTTGCAATGACCACAACACAAGCAGTCAAAATGCAATCAAAAAAGACAACTCTGATAATAATATGCACTGTCCTTGAATTTGATTGGTCCACATCCGAGACAGCTTTTCTTAGAGCCTAGTCTCCATTGGTGTTGGACCAGAAGACGCCAAAAGGCGTACAACTCAAAAACAGCGCACTATCAGAGTATTGAGGGCTCGGGGTGAGCATTAACATTATGAGACCTCCTTTGCCAGAAACAAGATATAGGAATAGGTTTTACCCTTTTAACTGGCACAAAAACTGACACCTTTATTCAAGGCATCATGTTTGCAATGACCACAACACAAGCAGTCAAAATGCAATCAAAAAAGACAACTCTGATAATAATATGCACTGTCCTTGAATTTGATTGGTCCACACCCGAGACAGCTTTTCTTAGAGCCTAGTCTCCATTGGTGTTGGACCAGAAGACGCCAAAAGGCGTACAACTCAAAAACAGCGCACTATCAGAGTATTGAGGGCTCGGGGTGAGCATTTTTTGGCAAAGGAGGTCTCATAATGTTAAATCTAAATGCATATTTAGCTTTTCAGTCCTCGTTATAAAAGTTATCTTATATTTCCATACTAAAATGTTTAATAAAATCTAGAATTTATCTGTGTAATTTGTAAACATGTAGCAATTGTAATTGTGAACCAAGAATAACACAATCTAAAAAAAAACGTCGGTGTCTTCCTCTAGTTGCGTTTGAAGGCAATCAATTGACATCTGACGAAACCGCAAAAATGCACTCATTTTCCATGGGGTTGATCATTCCTTCTTGGCTATTTCATGTAAAGCATGGGATGCATTATTTTCCATGGGGTTGATCATTCCTTCTTGGCTATTTCATGTAGAAGCATGGGATGCATTATTTTCCATGGGGTTGATCAGTCCTTCTTGGCTATTTCATGTAGAAGCATGGGATGCTTTATTTTCCATGGGGTTGATCATTCCTTCTTGGCTATTTCATGTAGAAGCATGGGATGCATTATTTTCCATGGGGTTGATCATTCCTTCTTGGCTATTTCATGTAGAAGCATGGGATGCATTATTTTCCATGGGGTTGATCATTCCTTCTTGGCTATTTCATGTAGAAGCATGGGATGCATTATTTTCCATGGGGTTGATCATTCCTTCTTGGCTATTTCATGTAGAAGCATGGGATGCTTTATTTTCCATGGGGTTGATCAGTCCTTCTTGGCTATTTCATGTAGAAGCATGGGATGCATTATTTTCCATGGGGTTGATCAGTCCTTCTTGGCTATTTCATGTAGAAGCAAGGGATGCATTATTTTCCATGGGGTTGATCATTCCTTCTTGGCTATTTCATGTAGAAGCATGGGATGCTTTATTTTCCCTCTGCATTGCTGTCTTTTAACATAGAACAATATTTAACTGTCATTGGTAAACACTGATTTTTTTTGCGTGCACCTCCCAACAGATAATCAAGTACAGAATTCTCTACTACTTCTGCCGTAATAAGAAGCAGAGGAATATCAGCGACAACTCCGTTCCAATGACCGTAAGTTCTGCTAGGCAGAAAACATTCACAGCACACAGCACTATATTACCACAATCTCAATGTCGGCATGGACTCATCCAAATATCTGAAAAGAGCACATAGCTCATAACAACTCAAAATTACATGGATTTGTTTTTAATGTGAACCATAACATTTGAATGAGCATGCATCGTCCTTTTTTAGCAGCAGATGGCCATAGCATCTGCTCACAGGTTGGTGTGTTTGTGTGCGCGTGCATGTGTGTGCGTCCGTTGCAGAGCTCGTACGCGGCACCCCAGGGCCATACACAGGCCGCCATCCACCCACACGGAGCCCACGCCAAGTACGAGGACTTCACCTGCTAGGCGTGCAGGGTGCGGCTAGATCCTTACCCACGTGCACCACAAGCGACGCGCGCCGCTCCACACCGGCACAGACGGAGGGCGCCGGGAGAGGCAGAAATTCCCTTGTCCCTTCCCAAAAGCATAACCAGAGATTGGGTTTAAATTGACTTTCAAGCTTTGTAAATGCTAAACAAAGTGATTAAAACAGAAGATTTTTAATAGAACTTCTGGTTGAAATTATGAGGTTTTATTAAATACACAGAAAAATTATTTGCAGGTAGCGAATAACGTTCCAGTCTTTACTGCTGTACTTAACTCACGGTTTGTATTAAAATAGTATGGAGAGGAATAAAAACTCACTCTTCAATTACTTTTATAAATATTACGAGGGGGTGAGTGGCCAGCACCACGCCCGTCCGCCTTTGTCTCCCCAGTGGCGATTTTCACAAACCACACCACTTACTCGTTTGAGGTCGACCTAGGGGAGGCCCAGGACCAGTACAATTAATCGTCACAGGTGGTGGCTGTCGAGTGGGAATCGAACTCGGGTCGCCGGGTTCGTAGCGCAGCGCACTAACCACTACACTACCGCTCCCCACCACACAGACACAAACACAGACAGCACGCTAACCACTACACTACCGCTCCCCCCCCACACACACACGCGTGCGCGTCCATAGGTACACATACACGCGTTTGCTGCAGACCCACACAACTTTCAGGGTGCGTACGGCAGTAAACGACTGAAGTAATAAAGCAATGCTGCGCGAAGAACGCCTTAGACCTGCAACACATTTGTTTGGCACTTTACCCGTGGAGGGTTGGGGGGTGACATGAGCAGGCACACTGCGTGACGCTTCCACATGCGCGGGTCACATGACAGATGTGACGTCACAGCTCACTTGCCGTGCAAAAAATATACGCATTATTGAGCCCCCCCCCCCCCCCAAAAAAAATATACCAAAGTGTATTTTTATAATTTTTGCATGGTGTACAGTCTGGAAAGTACCCACATGGCAAATTTCAAGTTTGTTGCATGTCGGGAAGTACGCTAAACATTTTGAACAGACACACATTCACAAATTTCCCTTTTATATATAGAGATAATAATTGGAGATGCAACATTCGATGTTCATTCTGGATATTGAAATGTATGGTGTTGATTGCACAAGAGTATTCCCAGACTCTAATTATGAATTTAACTGGTATATTTTTTACTACATCTTTGAGGTTGTTGCCATTTAATATATCCTTTATACTGCCTAGATACAAATAACCCTATTATATTCTAACAATAGAGCAATGACATAAATGAGGACAGTAACAGAAAAGTGTTGTTTAAAACAGAATATCGGATCATATATAACCCGTATCCTTTATAACTGATCAGTATACATTTGTCGATATTAAGGAACACAGTCGTGTGCAGTACATGAGAGTTACAAGGGTATTTGAATAACTATTTGAAGCATGGTTTGCCTTTCAAGTGTCTAAGAGATTAAAATGTATTTTTTGCATGGCAAAGCCTGCCAAAACTAACATTGATAGTATCAATGTGTTTTTTTACTCTGGGTAGTGCCATAGATAAACAATAAGAAATATGTATTTGTATACAGACTCTCCGTGTGATCGACCTGATCACATCCAATACTGTAGATGCCCCAACAACAATTATTGAAAATGTAAAAGAGACCGAATGCATTATGACATTAACTAACTTCTAATTAAGCGTAAAACACATTGAAACATCATAATGAGTGATTATAATATAAAAATAGGCAAAAGGAGCAGAGACGAGAGATGATTGGTAAGTTTGGCATTGTGACGAATGAAAGAGTGGAACGACTATTTGAGTTCAGAATCACCAAGGGCATAAAGGTCACAGCACCTTTTCCAAACAGATGGAATCTCAGATATGGACATGGATGAATTCAAGTAGAAAAAAAATAGAAGCTGAGATCTTCTTTGGTTCTTTCGGTAAAGTCACGGAGAATGAGAATAAAATAATAAATTGATCAAATAAAATAACACAATAAAATTCTCACGACGTTTCGGCCACAACACAAGCGACCTTCATCAGGTGAAGGGACGAGACTGTCTGGAGGACAGCGCTGGAGCGAACACAGCCAAGCTCAGACCGCGACCTTTAAGCTGTGTGAGAGGAAACAGAGCGCCTTGACAAAGGAATTAGCATAGAATTTAGCATTGAATGCTAATTCCTTTGTCAAGGCGCTCTGTTTCCTCTCACACAGCTTAAAGGTCGCGCGCGGTCTGGGCTTGGCTGTGTTCACTCCAGCGCTGTCCTCCAGACAGTCTCGTCCCTTCACCTGATGAAGGCCGCTTGTGTTGTGGCCGAAACGTCGTGAGAATTTTATCGTGTTATTTTATTTTATCAATTTATTATTTTATTCTCATTCTACGTGACTTTACCGAAAGAACCAAAGAAGATGAATCCTTGCAGTCACGAAAGCTTTAAATAAAAAAATACAAGCTGAGATTTTAAAGGAAAAACCTCAGATTAGTAGAAATGTGTCTGTTCTTGGAATATTCAACACAGGAAGTTATGACATAATATGATAAAAGTTACACTTAAACATACCCAGAGAAAAAATATTTAAAGCTTTCGTGACTGCAGGCATTCATATTCTTGGTTCTTTCGGTAAAGTCACGTAGAACGGAAACAATAAAATAATAAAAATAAAATAAATGTATTGTTTTATATTTTTATTATTTTATTGTTTCCCTTCGATGTGACTTTACCGAAAGAACCAAGAATATATATACCCAGAGAAGACAAATCAATACAGTACAGAAAACTCAAGAAAGTCAACATATAACAGGAAATAGTATCTTGACTTAAAGCTTTCGTGACTGCAGAAATTAATATTCTTTGGGTATTTCGGTAAAGTCACGTAGATAGGTGCAAAGAAATTAACAAAAACTACGACGTTTCGATCGCAACTCAAGCGGTCGTCATCAGGATCGAAACGTCGTAGTTTTTATGCTCTTTGGTTCTTTCGGTAAAGTCACGTAAATAGAAAAAAATACGAATAAATCACGACGTTTCAGGTGAAACAATACAGCAGGCGGACTACTGAGGAGGAAATGTAGCGAGAGAGCTACTGCAACCAAAGGTGATATACGTTTGTAGTGCGTACAACCCAAGGGTAAATTGGCGGGACTAGGGATGGAATTTGCAAGTCAATGTAATCGCAGAGGGTAGGGGTGGGTCACCTCCACCCTCCTCAGATTAGCCTGCTGTATTGTTTCATCTGAAGTTGATGGCTTGTCTTGTTATCGAAACGTCGTGATTTATTCGTCATTTTTTCTATCTACGTGACTTTACCGAAATAGCCAAAGAGTATGAATTCCTGCAGTCACGAAAGCTTCTAATCAAGATTGAACTGCCTCTAATGGGGAGGATTTCCACACATCTCAGACATGACTTCAACCGAGAAGGTGGATGCAACATTTTGCAATATTTGGAAGGACATTGATCAACCAGGTAAAGTGTTAGCTGTTGTGTTGGCCGACTCTCTGAGTTGCATTACATTTCTAAGTTTGCTAAGTTTGATATCTTTTTTCTCTCTATCACCGTTTTCCTTCTGTAAATTTCACCCCCACCCTCTCGCCCGTGGCGGCAGCCCCTCCCCCTCCCCCCTCCTCGGATTAGCCGAGGTCACCCACCCCCACCCTCTCTGCGATTACATTGACTTGCAAATTCCATCCCTAGTCCCGCCCACTCACCCTTGGGTTGTACCCACCACAAACGTATATAACCTTTGTTTGCAGTAGCTCTATTGCTACATTTCCTCCTCAGCAGTCCGCCTGCTGTATTGTTTCACCTGAAGACGATGGCTTGTGTTGCTATCGAAACATCGACATTTATTCGTTATTTTTTTCTATCTACGTGACTTTACGGAAATAACCAAAGGGTATGAATTCCTGCAGTCACGAAAGCTTATAATCAAGTCGTAGTTTTTGTTATTTTTTACCTATCTACGTGACTTTACCGAAAGACCCAAAGAATAGGAAATAGCATATTTAGACTAACTATAAATAACCCATTTATATCCGTGAAGTAAATTTTTTTCTTTATAAAACCCGCTTTAACAATTGTCAATCTGATGAAGTTTGATGGGTTCAAGAACAATGGAGCAGTGTGAGTAAACTTGCATTGACATGTGCCTCCACTCCACCTGAACACCTTGTCGTGTGCTTTTCCCAATAAACAGACATTTTAAGTTATATTCTTGGTTCTTTCGGTAAAGTCACGTAGAAGGGAAACAATAAAATAATGCAAATATAAAAAAATAAAATTCTCACGACGTTTCGACTGCAACACAAGCAATTATCATCAGGTGTGATGCTGTGGTTTTCACACCTGATGATGATTGCTTGTGTTGCAGTCGAAACGTCGTGATAATTTTATTGTTTTATATTTTTATTCTTTTATTGTTTCCCTTCTACGTGACTTTACCGAAAGAACTAAGAATATGAATCCCTGCAGTCACGAAAGCTTTAAATCAAAATGTTAAGTTATGTCAGCTGGGTCCGGTGGCACACATCTGTTATTTAGCGCTTCGGAGGTAAGGGTTGGTGGCTCGTGCAAATATGAGACTCTGCTGTGCTGTAATGTTGCCAGAGGGAGGAAGTACAGCAGGTACAATAGAACCATGAATTTGCGCAAACCATTTGAGTGTTATCCTCTATTCTGTATGTTTTTTTTTCTCCGCTTAAGCCAGCTTTCTCCTACGTGCAAACACTCAAAAAGGAAATGGCAAAATATCCCCATGCAGGATCCTCCTGAAACAAGTTTTGATGCTTGGTGAGGCTTTCCTGGAAAGATAAATTATATTAAATTCACATTATGCATTCATGACCAACTGTTTTCTATTATCAATCAGGCAAAGAGAAAATTAGATATTTCTATCACGTTATGTAAATGTAAAACAAACATAGAAGGTAAACCAAGCATAGAAGGTGGAGTCTCCTAGTTCGGGTTATTTGGCCAGCAACCGCAATCCAATGCACCTTCACACTGTGGTTTATCGTTCCTTACTGTAAAGGACAGTAAGCATAGACATATGTGGCCATTAAAGCTGGGTCAGGTCAAATGAAATGGAGGAACAATTTTTATTTGTTGTTGTTGTGAAGTAATTGATCGCTGGGTTGAGACCATTACGGTTTTATCTGACATGGGAGCCTAGGATTTAAGGCCAGGTGCTGGTGGTTCTAGCTTAAAGCTCCAGTAATCATTCGACCTCTGAACCACCAAGCCACATCGGTATTGAGATAAACTTTCATTAAAAGCTTATACAAACAGGACTGTACAGATGTATACATGTGCCACATGCATGTAGAATGGAATTGGTGAGAGTTTTAGATTCCGTGGCTACGCCGTATTTGCTCGGTACTTGGTGCACAGTGTGGGAGTGTAGCTCGCCTTCTTTGGTCACATGAGCTTGGTTTAATGTAATGATCGTCCACTGGCACAGTCGGATCTCTT